GCGCATCGCCTCGATGTTGGCATAACTCGTATGCTGGAATCGATGGATGCGTGAGGAAAAAACTGCCTTTTCCATTCCTTCTCAATCTCTGTATGGAAAACAGGAAGAAAGGAAGGCTCACCTGAGCTGGAGGGTTATGGCCAGAAAAATAACGTTCATCGTTTTGTTTTTTGTTTTTAATAGATGACCTCACGGTGTCATTTTCTTCACCCGCTTCACGGCAAGTAAAGCCTCGCCGTGGCGCGATCCATAACTTTCAAAAGCTCATCATACGCAGGGCAGGAGGATTGGGAAAGCTCAGCCTCAGCTTTTTGCCCTCCTCAGACATTTTCCTGCTTTCCAGCAGAGGACTGGCCCCTGGATCAGACAGTGTTAATGAAATAACGTCATCCTCCAGCGGCTCACTCTCGTCCACAGCCGACGATCGCGAGAGGGAAAACCCCTCTTCAAACTCATCGGCCAGATCCACATGCGATCCCCACGAGTTCATTCTCCTCCGTGCATCAGCAGCGGCGGATCCTGAATCACGGGAAGCAGATGGCTGCCCCTCTTTCCTCGAAAAGAGAGACAAACGAGAGCGGAGCTTTTTCCTTGAAAAAAACGCTTGCGGTGCACGCCGATTGCCCCCTCGGAGACATCGCGTGCATGCTCTTCGCCCCAAACAAATAACGCATAGATCGTGTGTGTCATCAGATGTTAAACAACGACAACACGGATGCACACATCCTCTAAACGCTTTGCTAGTGCTCGCCATAATGATATGAATAGAGATCGCTCTTACCACAGAAATGCACGCTTCAAACAAAACAGTCAATGAAGATGAAGAAGAGGATGATGTGTTCTCCCGGTGCCTATTTATACTATAGTCGCACCGGTAGTGATGTCATGGCTGTCGCCGGCCAATGTGTTGTTGGTGTTTTTTTCAATGTATGCTTCAGACATGGGTCACGACGAGGCGTTCCCCATAGCGACCCCTAGAGGACGCAGTTCAAAGTTCCCATGAAAGGGAACTGTCTATAAAAAACGTGCATTACGTCTAAATTAACTCATAAATATAATTTCGTAAATTGCATAAACAATTATGAACAAAACAGCATCACATATTTATGCATAGCTTAATACAAAGAGCCGAATCACCCATCATACAGATTGCCTTTAAAAACATATGAGATGCAGTGAAAAGGAATAAACCTTCACAAATTCGTGATGTGTTTTCTAAAAGTTTAAACTGTTTTAACTTTGCATGGCTTTCTATACATCTCCTGTGTGACGCGAGTACAGCGGTCATAATTGTCCGTCAAAAAATGCACTGAATATGCGTTCTGTGTGAATGCCTTGGTTTCGGTTTTAACTTAATTAAGATCTTCTACGCATTGAGCTACTATATTTTTATTATTTATATAGCTCTTTATGCAATACAGATTGTGTCAAAGCAGCTTTACAATGTTAAACAGGAAAAATGTGTGCTGATAATGCAAGAGGAAAATAGAAAACTGTCAGTCATTGTTGATTCAGTGATGTTATCATCTAGCTCAGTTCAGTTCTCTCCCACCACTGTCTCACCACAGTGCTATTTCTGTGGTGCATGTCGTTGTTGCCTAGTGTTTTAAATCATTTCCATGGCAGTTAGAATGTTGTGTTAAGGAGGTCACACACCAGACGAGAGGTGTAGCACCATGCTACATCTTTAAAATTGCACACTCACCGATGGTGCCGCTTAGCGTCTGTCCACGGCATCCAGCTACACCTATGGAGGCTGTTCATAAAGAATGCTACTGGCATAGTTTTCCATTAAATTATATTTGTCCTGAATAATTATTTCACATAATGACTTGTGATTGCATTTTTCACCAAAATGTTTGACTTTGTGTGGCTTGAATTAAGTCCATATGCACAATGTGGAACGGCGTGACTCTTTAGGGACAGCTTTAGGGACCATTCAAACAGGATGCATTTTTGTGTTGAAAAATGCAGAATGCAAGCAGTGGAATGGAGAAATTTAATGCAATAATATATATATTTTTTAACGTTTTTAAAATTCTGTGTCATGTGCATCAAAAGCATCCATTTAGCACATGTTTACATAGAAAAACAATGGAATAGTAGCACAGTGGAATGCAAACATGTGTTCTGTGCGAACGGTCCCTTTAAATCAGTTTTCTCTATCTCTTTTAGAGTCTGACCTTTTTATGTCAACTACCTCTTTATTTTCCATAATGTAGCAAAGCAGAAGGAGCTTGTTTAATGTTCTGTCTCGTCATTATCTCATTCACCTAGTTAAACTAAGCTGATATTCCTAAGAAATACAGGAAGGCCTCAGACCTTGCAGGCAAATTATGATTTAATGCACTTTACCATCCTGTTAACACCAGACACTGTAGCTTCAGTCTGGTACCTTTTCATTTCACAGATGGTTTATGGAAGAATTATTTGCCGTAATCGTGTTAGAGATGATTTCTGAGAGGTTTGTAGTCCTATCTCTGTAATTTGGTGTTCTGTTTATTTTGAGGCTTTCCCCTCAATGATGGAGCCTCAGATTAGTCATGGTGTTGCATAAGTGTCTCACAGAAGAGCCAACTTCCTCTGCTTCCATCTTCATCATGAGCATGTGTTTTTGAAATGTAAACTGAGATGTCGAGTGAAAGGCCTGTGGGTTTTCTCTCTAGCACATCTCTTGGATGCTGTAGGGCGTCATACTATACAGTAGTGTGTCCAATGCTCATCCCTCAACCATGGCTCTGTTCCAAAACCTAGTGAGCTGCCCACCCAGACAGTAGTTTTAGGCATCACTGAATGTTCCAAATTGTAGATAGCAAAACCT